CTTCTTTCCTTGAGGCTCGAGAGAAACCCTAAAACCCTACCCTCCTTCCTTCTTCAATATTCATACGCGTTCAAAATTCACTAAATTTTGATATATACATGCAGGTGTTCTATATTCCCCTAACATGTGATGGCCTAGGCTTGCTCATGTGAAACCCACATGTCAACCATACCACGTAATCAAAATTGTCAATGTCCTGCCGCCAACCGAAGAAAACTACCTTAATTTCATAATTTTTTTGAAAACCCCATTAGAATAATGGTGAAATTTATATGCTTCTAATTAATATTTTAAAGATTGCTACTTTGTTCTTTCTACCTTTCTTGTCGATGTCCCTATATGATCATGATATTTGTAAAGTAGACGTTGTAGGGGTAATTGAGGTCTAATGGTCATGGGAAATGTTGATGTCTGTTTCTTTGTCGAGGAACAGCTTTATTTGTCAAAGGTTTTCATGTCTGTGAAATTTTTTCCTTGTCTGCATGAAAAGCCAATTAATTAGCTGGTCCTGACTTAAACACTGCTTTGCTCAACTGCCAAACCTCTTCTCTCTAGCTTAAAGGTGTTAATAGTCTAATTTGATGGAGCTTCATAAATCAATCAGAGATAAAACTTTCTGTGTACTAACGCGTTTTCTGTACATGTATTTTCATTTGCACCATCTCAGCTGAGGATATGTTGTACTGCTGAGAGAGATGATTTAAAAAGTTTTATTCTTTCTGTTTTGTTTAATCACCTGCACCAAATTAAGCTGATAATAATAAAGTGAATCAGTCTCTTCCCCCAGTGTTTTGTTTAATTACCTGCACCAAATTAAGGCCAGCCACTAGATTAAGTGATTTGATTTGATTTGATTTTTCTCTATTACAAAGGATAGGATATTTTAATAACAGATCTTTACACCAACAACAAAGTTATGCCACCACAATAGAACTAGCAACAATTAGGGTTTGAGCTCATCACACACACACACATATTGTGGGAGTGTGTATGAACAACTACTGTCTGGACCAAACTACCCCCATCAAAAGGGGTGTGAAAATCAATAGCACATGTTATCCTCATTAATGCAGTGAGGAGTGACGTAATTACTTTGAACCAGTAGGGATCCTGCCATACTTGATAAGAGTGTGGGCTCCGTAAGATCCCACGTGCACTGTGGGAAAAGCCCAATAGGGCCTGTTAAACCACCCGGGCATCGTTGCTCGTTATATCACAGGGTAAGTGCCAGTTTGGCATTGCTTATTTAGGGTGATAAGTAATTTTTTTAAAATTTTGAGAAGTCCAGCCCTTTTGGTAAACTATAAGAAAATAACTTATTGTTAAAAATTGCATTGAGAAAAATCTATAAAGGAAAGCAGCTAATGAAGTGCTTTCATTTTCTAATTATATAGGAATCAGCTTTGAAGAGGCGTTGAGTTTAATGATTATGCGACAATCATTTTCTAATTATGCGGGAATCAGTACCAACAACACTTTTAACAAAAAGTTTACCAAACACCAAACTGCTTTATCTCACAGCTGATTTCTCTCATAGCAAATCTGACAGCGATTATTTTTACAGTACAGCAATGCCAAATTGACCCTAAGTCCAAATGGACTAATCCTTGGGCAGCATGCCTCAAAAGCAGATCAACATTGATCCCTAAGGTCTCCCTTAATTATTGCTACAACAATAATCTAGGAGATTATGCCCACGCATTTTGGGCAAATATCTCACACGTCCCAAGTCAAACTATTAATTTATTGGATGTGATATATCAGGCAACGATGCCTCCAATAAATGCCATACGCAACCTTTTACGACAGTAAACCAGCCACCAACGAGTCATATAAAACTCGATCACAACTACAAGAAGGTAACATTCCCTCACAACCTACAAAACCCGAATTATTCTTGTCTGGAATTGATTTAAGCATTGTAGAATCTTTGGCTCACACCACACTGGTGTACAAGGACTCACGATCTTCCATTTTCTCTTAAATCTTGGGAGGCAATTTGGGCTTCTTCAAGAGCAGAAGAAATCATTCCCCCACAACCCCCCTTCACACACACACACACACACACACACACACACACACACACATATATATGTCGAAACCAAGACATTCTCCAACTAAGTGAAGAAATATATCACTAAATGATTAATTTTTTTAATGTATAAAAAGACAATAGATTTTATTAAATCATAAGAATAAAGAGTACAAAGGACACATACTGTAAAGGGAGACATCCCAATAACAATATGGCAACCATGAAGGTCCCCAGTGACCTGAGCGAGTCAAAAAGCTAAAACGATTAGAAGAGAATCACACTTGAAAATAACTTTTCTAAAACCCCTTTTCAACCGTCATAATTCCTCTGAATCTAATCCAACAAAAACCAACCGCTAACCGGCATGATTCTCAAGAGACTAAGAACTGGCCACTAACCGAAATATATCACTAAATGATTTGATTAAATAAAATATAAGTCTTAGGATTCTCCAAACTTTTAATGGAAAAATATCACATCTGCCGCCCAGAATCTCATTGGATGTCCCGGTTGACCCTTGATAAGATCGATTACCAGAAATGGAGATAGATCAATATATTAAAAGCTCGTAATATGAAAGACTAATTAAAATATATGGTGTGTATATATGTATGCTACACCTACCTCAGATCTTCAGTTTTCATGCTACGTACTAAGACACTGAATTATAAACCAGGTTTTCTGAGGGCACATGCATACAGTCAACAAGAACATGGAAATCGACCAAAATTCCGACTTTGGTATTTTAATTTATATTAATTATAATAAGAGCAAGCAAATTAATTCCTTCCACATGCAAAGATCATGGGCCGTTTGGGAGGTTACTTATCAGAAAACTGTTGCAAAAATCGGACAACCACCCGACAGAATCCTCATCAATTTTGATTTAATTTGAGCTATAATATGGATGGTATTGGTAGGTGAATTAATTAAATTGAAATATGTCCAAGCAAATTATTTATTTATTTATTTATTTATTTATATTTGGATTTTCATGCACTTTATAATTGAAAGATATGTCAACGAAGGGGTGGCAACATTTTATTCATGTCACATGGCATCGAAATGGTTGTAACTTGGACTTCGCACACTAAGATGGACAAGGCTAGCTTTTGACAAAAAAGAAAGAAAAAAGATCAACAAGGCTGATCTAGATTAGGAATTAATCTGCCAAGTCAAATTAAACAGAACAGATTAACGGGGAGTCGGGGCTTGAATTGATGTTGCGTATGCATTTAAAATTTTCAGAAATAGTAGGAAGAAGAGTGATGCATGGTACTTGATGGTTAACACTAACTTGCTATTAATTAAATTTACTTTGACTACATTTTGTGTGAATGTCAAATTACTCTGTCATTATCGTATAATATGCTTATAATTATCACTTGATTGTCTGGGTTGTGAGGAACTTCTGGGGACCACATGAAGCTATAATAGACTTTGTTTTTTCATTACCATCGAGGTCAATGAAGGAGGGAATTCGAACTCTAAAAGAAAAACAAAAAAAGAAGAAAAAAAAATTCTTGTTTGATATTTTTTTATTCGAGAAATTTTCTTATTGAGAGAGACGATAACATACTATACATATACTAGGCTAGGACTCTACATTAGTGGGTCCATTGCTTATACTTAGATACACAAAAAAGAATTTTTTAATCCAAAATTAAGTTCAAAACCGAATTTACTAATTGATATTGGTATTTCAAGAAAGTGAAAAGAGAGAAGATATAATGCAAGGTAATTGAAAGTCAATGATAAATTATGAGTATCACATTCATCAACGGTCTATTGTCATTGAACGAGCAATCTTAACTTCAAAGTTTGAATGTATAAGATCAAATTTTTTTTGGATTAATTTGTTTACCTAGTCTAGGTTTTAGATTTTTTAATCATCGAACAAACATGAACATTCCTTTTTTACAACAGAAAACAAACATCATTCACTTGGCAAGTCGCATAGCAAGATCATTCGTTATCTTTTCTTGTTTTCCTTATTGTTCTGTCGAATATACTTTTTTGCATATGCTTTGTTTCCATAAAAGCGACTTAAATTTCAGTGGAGATCCCCTCATTGGGCAAACCGCGTACCCTCTCTCAAAGACAAACTTTTTAAGCACTCATCACTCCCAGAAAGTTCAAAAGCCCCTTTAGACTTTTTCTTTTTAGCTTTCTTGCAAGTAACTCTTTCTCCTCAGCTTGCGTAGTTGCTGACGATCCCCTTTGAACATCCCCAAAACAGTTTCAGTTCTCTCTCTCTCTCTCTCTCTCTCTCTCTCTCTCTCTCTCTCTCTCTCTCTCTCTCTCTCATAGTTTTAGTGCAAAATGCAATAAATATCTCATCCCAAAAAAGGAATGTAATTTGAAACCCTAACTCCAACGTACACAAACACTTTTGGTTTTGCATCATGAGATCAAAAGCTTTTTAATTTAATTAACTTTTCCTACACACACGGCTTTAAAAATGTAAAGGGCCCATCAAGAATTAGTGGAGAGCTGCCGGCCAACGTCGGCAGCAGCAAATATATATGAAATCGGTCAGTCACCATCTCAAGCCGCAAACTACGGTGGCGCCATTACGTATGCTACATGGCAATTGGCAAGCAACATGGCTATGTATATGAGTTCACACACAAATAAATTATAATATATTATACAAAACATACACTAATCCCATTGTTTTGAATTAATAATACATCATTATCACAATGGATTTAATTATAGTTTCCAAGACATTAAGACAATTTGGTGCCACGCAATGACTCAAACTAGTTTTACAAATGAAGCTAATGCCACTTCACATCCCACAGCGCGGACCGAGTGCACTTTTCTACATTCGAAAAAATAAAATAGCTAAAATGTAAATAAATAATAAAACTCAGTAACCAATTAACTTTTGGCAAAAAAAATTTTGTTCAGCTGATGTGATTTCCTTCACGGTTTTCTTGTACTCGTGGTTGAAACCTGGCTATCGTTTCATCGACCCGGCACGGGGCTGCGGTCGTCGAAGGATAGCCGAAAAAACCCACTTAGTGAGTGACCGTCTTCTCGAGTGGTTGGTTTGGCTGCGACCATTGGTGGCGGGGACGTTGCAGTACTCGCCGACAAAGGCCTTCAGCCGATGCATTGCCAAGTCCAGAGTTTTCTCGGATAAGTTGGCAAAGCAGACACGGAACCAGCCAGGTTCTGTGCAATGACAAGACGATCCGGGAGAGATATTGAGACGAACTTCGTACACAATTTTTTTCCAAAGCTCCATTTCGGCTTCGAAAGTGTTGGACCTGAGCAAGTGTCTCATGTCTACCCAACAGAACAAGCCGGCATTGCCCTTGAGGTAGCTAATCCCGGCTTTCTGAAGGCCGGATACGAGCCTTTTTTGACGTTGTTTGAGCCTCTTTTGGTTCTCGGAAATGTAGTTCTTAGTAAGTTTCTTGTCAGAAAGCATGGCGGAGAGAAGGTACTGAGTTTGAGAAGATATAAGCCCGAAGCTTGACATTTTTGTGGCGCCTGCCACAACCATGTCGTCGTTGGAATAAATGGCGCCAACTCGAAAACCGGGAAGGCCAAGATCCTTAGAAAGGCTGTAAACAACGTGAACTCGGTTCCACATTGGGGAATTCTCGTCACATTTTCTCTCTTTGAGAATTTCCATGACGCTTGTGAAGGATGGGGAGCTAAAAACAGTGCCGGAATAAATTTCATCACTAATTAGATGGATGCCTTTGTCTTCGACGAAGGAAAGGAGGAGGTTGAGTTCACTTCTGGTCATTGTGGTACCCAATGGGTTTGAAGGGTTCGTGACCAAGACGCCTTTGACTCTTAGATTGCGTTTTTGGGCTGCTTGGTAGGCTTCTTGGAGAGCGGTTTCAGTAATTTGGAAGTCATTGGAGCTCGTGCAGTGTATGGGTACAATCTCAACCCCGGTGCGCCACTTGAGGTCTCTATCAAATCTGCAAGAAATGCAAGCAAATATCATTAGGGAATGAAATGCATAATTATTTTCCCATCGTGAACTAAAGTCCACGAGGAGACATGAAAGTACTGGACGTCCTGAGTTCAAATCTAATTATTAAGATACGTACCCTGGGTAGTATGGGGTAGGAATGAGAACGGCTTCGCCAGGGTTGGCGAGGCAGAAAATAAGGGTCTCATTTGCTGAAGTTGCACCGGCGGTGAGAACCAAGTGGTTGGGATCAAAGGTGACTTTGTTTCCTCGGATTTCCGCCATGAAATCTACCAATGCCTGTAACGAAAATAATCAAAAAATCTGAGTCAGACATGCGCCAGCTAGAAGCTTACTTGGTGGGGTCGTGCCTTTGAATTGCATTAAGGAAAAGGGAAGCTATATATAATTGTACAAAACAATTCATGTGTTTACCTTTTTGAATGCGGGAAGGCCGTGATAATCTTGGAAGAGAGCAAGCTCGGCAAATATGGACTCTCCACTTCTCTTGAATCCAGCTGCGTCTGGGTTCTTCGCAAGCCATGACTCAAGAATATCAAAGGATAACTGCAAAGAAAAACATTGAAATGATCATGAGTACATAAATATATAAATAATTTCTCGAGAAAAGAAAAAAGAAAATACAGGGTATTTATGCATGGTATTAACAATATTGTACCAAAAAAGAGAATTATTAGTTAATTATTACTTGATTCTCCGCAAGACCCATCTGAATAATCCCTTTGGTATTCTGGACCTCATGGTAGGGATTGTTCTCATACTCTTGCCAGCCTAGGAAGTATGAGGAGTCTTGGCCGTGAGAGTTGCACGTAGCTTTTGTAGACAACATGCACATTTTGATTTTGGGAAAAAAAAACAACAACTCTCTTGATATAAATAGAAGCTTAGCTAGATGTACAAAAGTTCAAAGGAAAGAAAGCAAGAGAGAGAGAGAGAGAGAGAGTTGAGGTTTTGGTTTTGGTTTTGGTTTTGATTTTGGAATGCAAGTTTGAAATGGGTTATTGGGTGTTGTTGGAGTGTAGGGGTCTATATATAGGGAAAAGTATCATAGATAATACATAGAAGATTTGTCTAACAAAGGAATGCCACGTCACACTTTGAGTACCGAAGAAAGAGATAACAAAAGTTTTTCTTTTGATCTAATAAAATTCCATCGACAACATGATAATTGTACGCGCTTTTCTCCACCGTCCCTAAGCAAGAAGACATTAAGCAGACTTTTACACTCCCAATACCCAGTTTTAGTGTTAACTAATCAATATCAATTAAGTACTTAATTTAATTTCTTTCCACATTTTCTTGGACTGGGAAGTGTCTTGCACCACCTACAAACTAGCGTGGGGTTACAAGTGTACAAAGCAGCATTAATGAGATGGTAATCGGAAAAACAAAAAAACAAAAATCAAGACTTGGGGTCTAGTTTTGTAGAGAAACCCTACCGACAGCAAGTATCATAGAAAATGGCTAGAGTGACCCACCAGTTCCATGTAAACAAACCTGTGATTGTGCCCCCTGGTCCATATGCTGCTTCACTGGAGTAGCCACAACTAATTTTGTCGGCCATTCTTCTCCACCTTTTTTAACCTTTTCATAGAGTTCTTGCGTCTGCTTAGTTCATCACCCTAATGCCCAAACAATCTTTTGATTTGAGTCAACCTCGAAATTTTGGTGGGAACAAAAAGGGTATCTCTCTCTTTTTCTTAATTTTTATCATAATTATTGTAGATATACAAACAAGGGAAAACCCTAGAATCTGATGTAAAACAAATGGTTTGATATGAGATTATTAATGAAGTAAAGTATCTATTAATATTAAGGTGGTGAGTAAATTTGTCTTGTTGTATCTAATAATCGAGAAATTATTGTATGGTATAACCCGTTTATATGTTATAATATGACTGGACGATAATGTTAAGATTTTTCACTTATTGTAATACCACACTATAATCATTCGAAAGATGACTCAATTATGTTACCCAACTTACCCTTGTATATGAGATATAAATAAATAAATAACTTACCCGTTGTATCTAAAATACAAGCTTCCACTGATATTTGACTAAAATCTATTTAACTGCATGCAACTGTTAAATTTGCAACTAATTAAGATTATAAAGAAAAAAAGAACACGAAACTAGCTAAAAAAATCCAGAGATGCCAATTACAAAGAAAATGTTGAAAAATAAAAGTAAATTAAAAAGAGAGAGAGAGAGAGAGAGAGAGAGAGAGAGAGAGAGAGAGAGAGAGAGAGAGAGAGAGGAAAATAAACAGAATATTAAGACTTGAAATAGGGATAGATGAATATTAAATTATTAACTAAAAAAAAGCTAGCAATAAAATAAAATAAAAATTAAAGGACACATCTCTATCACCCAAAAAGTATATAAAGAATCAAACATATATATTTATTTAGAAGACCAAGTCTCTTATTTAAGAGGCAACAAAATTTTTCATTAGAAATTAGCTATCAATTAAATACCTTTATTATTTTTTTTTTTTTTTTTTTTTTTTTTTTTCCAACTAACTTAGTTTTATTGTCAAAATCTAATCCCTTTAAAAAAATTGTTATTATAGGTCTTCTTCCTAATGCATGGCCCATGGATTGCACATGTAAAAAATGAGTTGAAAATTGATTCAAGGAGCCGAAATTTAAGTGGCACATCTTGATTGGACTGGAAAAACTGAATAGCAAATCTTTGGTAGTCGTATTTTCATGATAATGTCTTATCTCTTGGGCGGTGGGGACTCCGGGTTTCCTATTTAAACTTTGGAATGCAATGATGAAGCTTACAACATAAAAAAAATGCTTAGTAAAGTTGGTTCCATTAGGAAAATATTAAAGCAAGCAATAATTATGCATCACAACTTCTAATCCATTAGTCCGCCCTTTGTTTCTGCTACCTGATTTCTAAACTTTCCCATTGTAATATGCATAGATTATTAGGTCGTTGCTGTCTCATTGACGGGAAATAATAAGTTAGAAAAAATGTTGATCTTTTAACCAATTTGTATTTGATATGGAACCAACTAATTAGTATTAATTAGAAACAGGCAGTAGGCGATGGTGATGGGGCGCATCGATAGCTAGATCCCAGATTTCCTTCGCTTTTTTTCGGCTTAGGTTTTATTTGCATGTTACTTTTTGAGAGATTTGAAACAACAAAAGTTAGTGACAGCTCAATGTGGCATAGCTTCTTTGATCCTGGTTTTGAAATCTTGCTATTGGGAGGGGTAGGTGGGTCTCTCCTCAGTTCCCAAAGAAACTACCATTTGAAGTTAGAAAAGTCTATGCAGACGCAGTAGTTGGTAATAAGAAAACAAAGACCGTTTTGATTGGATGAAGAAGCATACACTTTGACTGAATTTTATGTGTAAAAAAAAACATTAAACAAAGAGGTTTCTATTGCTAAACAATTTGGAATAGAATTTCATGATCACATGTAAGATAGCTTCTCACACTCTTTAGTACGTTTCACTCCATAATGAGTCTAGCTAAAAGCGAAGACTTTATTTTACTATATTGTTGCATTATTGTGTTGGGCATATATGGACTTTGTAAAGTTGACTAGAGCGGATGTGCTTCTTACGCAGCATCTAAGTTGAATTCTCCTCGTAATTTAAATTAGATTAAAATAAAATATCATTTGTATTATAAATAAGTAAAAACATATTGCGTTGGATTCTAATAAAAATGTGGTGTCCAATTCATTACATTGTAGTTAGAGTCAAGGGCGGAGCCACATGCAGGCCTGCCATGACCATGGCCCCCCCAAACTCCAAGAAAACCCGATTACTTCTTAAGCATCAACTACAATATTAGTTAAAATATAACTCTATATAATCTTGCATTTATAGTACTGGCCCCCTTACAGATTAGCTTCTAGCTCCGCCACTGGTTAGAGTCCAGTACAATGCGCTAATGTAATCAATAATCTTTGCATTATTTCAAATTAATTAGCTATGTATTAAAGTTAATGACTAAGCGAAAGATGCATGGCCAAGCAATGTCCAAGATAATTAATAATATTACCCATACATTTGAAACCATGCAACAATTAATTGCGGTCTCTCGGATAGCTAGAATGATCTGATTGATTTGTGACAAATTGGCATATAGGCTTGGACCGCTTGCCGGATTCAAGCATGCTTACGGGACGACAAATAAGACGTGATTAGATACTCCCCAAATAATGTAGTGGGAATTATCCTCTTAAATGCACACATAGATGGTAAATATATTACATCAACAATTAGTGATTAAGGCTTCTAGCAAAAACAAAACAAAACCAAAAAAAACTACCGGAGAAATGGTATCGTCTAAAGATATGTTGAGTTTTTTCCGTTTGATTTGAGGTGCTCCTGATTTTATTCAGATGCTCTATTAAAAAATGATAGCAAAATTGAGTTTTTGAGCTTCTCTTCTTCCACGGTTGTACTTTTCTTAAGTTTCCTCTTGTACCATAAGTCGAGATTCCCTAAACAAATTTGACTAAAGGAAAGGGCCTAGCTAGGTAGATAATTTGTCTTTTTTGAAACCCTCAATTTGGGTTTATTATTAGTTATGGGTAGGGCTAGTCATTAGCTTAGCTTAAAAGATGGGTCAGGGAATGTTAAAACTTGAATTGAGATAGAATGATGAAGAGGGAAATTAATCAAAGAATAATAGGAGAGCCACGTGGTTTGTAGTAGAGAAGAGCTATTAGGGCATGTGAAAGCCTCGTTTAAGTGCCCCCCACCACACCCTCTCCCACTGTAAGCAAATACATTAAGAAGTTGGGGGACCATAAGAGACTTAGTCCATGCTGACAAGTAACATGTGTGCTCACGTTCGACCATTCCGAGTAGACATTGCCATGGGCCATTTGCCCCCCCCTTTCTTCAATAACGTAGGCCCCAATTTCTTCCTTACCCTCCAATATTACATTTTTGTTTGTATATATGTATATATATTTGTTATATATATGTATATAATATTAGCCAGTTAACAAAAGGTCAACGAAAGCTACGCATACCCACTTAATTACTAGAACCAGAAACGTATGTAATCAATTGGGAGACAGCTCCTCAAATGAATTGCCCAAATCTTTCTCTCTCTACAAGATGAGGAAAATGTTTCAAAGTTTTCTTGCTTCTGGGACCATTGACCTTAACCAAAGTCATCAGGATTTGAAGGAGAGCTAAAGGTGAAGTACATACTGCTCAAAATTCAAGCTGCTTTGATGTTAATATGTGATGAGTGTAACAGCTTCCAACAAAGTACCGCTACTTATCTGGATAATCTCTCTCTTGCTTGGGAAGGACGGGATTGATTGTGTTTGTGGGGTTGATTTGTAAATATAATAAAATATTATTGGTCAGAGCTCAGAATGCATGTATGTTGTTTTACATGGAAATTATGTAATGCTGAGTTGATTTGGATTCATACGGCTGACTATTTCGTTTCGATCTACTTATCTACTTGGGATAATTAGTCTAAATGTGGATTTTAGATTTGTTGATTGAGCAATCCAGAGAAGAAGGATACGATCTTTTTCAGCTGCCAGGAGATCAAATTCACTTTCAGATACATGAACCCTCTTCATGCATATCTTATTTACAACTTATACAAGTTAATTACAGCCAGATCACGTTTACATATTTCAGATAGATTCATGAATCATCTTCATATATATATCTGCTTATTACGTCGATTGCGATCGGGTTTAAATTAATTTAAGATGTATATAAGATCATATTGAATTTATATGGGTGCCTGCTCTCCCCATGCAAGGACGTGTTCATGCTCTTCCCTTCGCATGTGCAATATGATATACAGAATATGGGACAAACCAACAA